AAGAATTAAAAATATAAGAAGCTATAGCAATATAAATGACAAGCCAAAACTAATTCATTTAGGTTCAAATGAAACTGAAACCAACGTTGGGTCTCTCATTCCACACAAAATCAAATGTTTCCGTATATGCGATGTATTTGAATGGCAAATTATTATGCTATATTAAATAATTATTTTACTACATATATACTACATATATAGTTTTTTTTCCATATGTTTGACTGACTGTATTTTATTATGATAATGAACAGGCTGCATTGTCAAGGTAGCAATGCTTAACTGTGTGCGTGCATGCGGCGCCAGCGTAATTACTTGAATTTTTTCCTTCCAACAGTGGAAGAAACTACTCCTTTTAGTCATAAAGATAATCGGAATTGTAAAAGGTTTGCCTTTATTTGTGTACATTCACAATAAAAATAAATCTTTGTGCTTTTGTAAAATAAGCCTAAAGAAAAATAGGATGCCGCTTTCTACCGTCTGTTTCCTTTCTCGCAGCACAAAAATGAACGGAAACCGCATACTAGGCTACTTGTTTTTCTTACATTTTCTTAATTTATAATTTAAGTAAAAATATGTTTTTTTGTCTGCAGGTGCGTGATGTGATATGACCATGAGAATCCTCATGTTCTGTTGCTTGCTGCTTTTTGCGCATGTAAAATTAATCCCCGGGAAACAAATGTTAGTATTTTTAACGGGTCACAGACACTTATTCTTTCTAATTTAATTCAATTCTAATTTAAAATAATCTTGTCGGTTAACGGTTAACAATCGGTTAACGTGCGTCAGTTGTCGGTTAGGAAAAATAACCGAAATGAACATCCCTAATTTGATCCCCACTAAATAATGTTATTTCACTGTTTAGATTTCACAATGTTTAGATTTTCTAGAATAACTTTTGCTGCTGAATTATCCACTAACCTAGTTTATAATATGGGGCAGTCATGGCCTAATGGTTAGAGAGTCGGACTTGTAACCCAAAGGATGTGGGTTCGAGTCTTGGTACACAGCAAAAATGGCTGAACACTGCTCCAGGTGTGTGTTCACGGTGTGTGTGTGTGCGCTTGGATGGGTTAAATGCAGAGCATTTTCATTTGTTTTTTCATTTGTCATTTTTCTTTAAAATGAAGTCGTCTATATTTAGTAGATTGTGTTTAACACACAAAACACTGATGATCAGGTCAACACACAGAAGTATAGAAATTCTACATTGATTTAAAAAAAACTGTGCCGTTATCGGATTGAATCTGTATCGGCCGATACTCAGAATTTTCAGTATCAGATTGGTTCAGAAAAAAATGATATCGGTGCATCCCAACTTTGAAGTAGTGTGTTATAATGTTTATCCTGGTGCAATACCTTAGCTTTTTTGCTTGTATTTTCAATGGAAATCAACAGTGTTACAGACGGTGTCAAAAATTTGTTTTATTATTAAGGAGCAATATTTGTATGGAATTTTTTTTTTTTTTTTGATCGCACAGTTTCGTTCATTTATGTCACATATTATATTACTACTACAAATACTACATACTGTTATTTAGTTGAATATATGAAATGAAATGATCACTCTGGTGTTTAAATTTCATAACCAGGTAGGCCTAGGATGAAGTATTATGCAGTAAGTGTCTGAAATTTCTTATAACCTCTTATTATTCCAGATGAGAGCGAGAACAGCATCAGAAGAAAGAGATCTCGTAAGCGCTCCGACACAGAGGAAGACAGCGCCTGGGATTCCTCCTACAGTGAGGTGAGAATTTATGTACTACACATCTGATCTTATCACACATTGACAGAACTATTCACATTCCAAAGTTCATTTTGCTGCTGTTTCCAGACACATGGCTGAAACAGGTCAAAACACAATTGCTTTACTACAGGAAATATGATTATTTTTTAAACCAATGGCAGTATTGTTAAATAATTGAGGTGAAAGCACAACACAATTAGTGGTGTAATCATATATGAATCCATTCATTCACCACAATTCACGTTCATAAACAAACATCATGAAACATGCAGGAAAACACATAGAAACCTGAGTTTGGTATCACTTTTGTGGTCCTCTGTGCATTATCAGCATAATGAAATAAGACATGCAGAAGATCACATTGTGCGGCATTGCTGCCCCCCCTTTAAACAAACATTCTGCCATTCACATGCGCGCTAACTGCAAACTGAGTGCATGTGTATGCTAGTGCTGTGTTCGATACATAGATACGACGATGTATCGTCACAGAGATCTGACGATACGAGTATCGATACAGCTGGCCCTGTATCGATATTGTGGCACGTGCGGTGCAGTGGACCGCGCTTAATTTGAATACAAGAACACCGTTTAAAACAGAGTAGAAAAGTGCAAGGTTTCTAAAAAATAAAAATAAACACCAGTTAGCTTGCAGTTTAGTGATCTCCTCTTCAATATTCTATTCTCAGACAAGTGTAATTCATCAAGTGTTAATTTATGAGAGAGAGAGAGAGAGAGAGAGAGGCTTTGTATGTATGAATTACCACCGTTTTGCCGCGTTTCTCTATTAACAGTGAAGCTGTGGATTTAATGGCTATATTAGAGGAATAATTGGTTAGCTGGAAAATGCTTTTGGATTTTCGGATGCCAAAAATTTGGAATGCTTTTGGATGCCGTTCGAGCCCATATAGCCTACATTCACGCGGCTTTGTTCTGGTTTGCCGGATGGTCACGAATTTCCACAAATTCAATAATATTTAGGCATTGTTTCATTTCCTAAATCCTCACCGTCTAACCCTCTAATTTCGCAGGTTTATTTTATTGTCATTCACTTTTTATCACTGTTTTCGCATCTAAGGGAAATGAAAGATTTCATGGCCATGAATTAAGAATTCGTTCATGTATTAATTTGTTCCCTCATTTTAGTTAAATCATGGGTTAAGGAACAAAATTAATGAAACATGGACAGTGGCCACAAATTAACAAATCGTAGGAACGAATTAACAAGTTGTAGGAATGAATAGCCAATCTGTCCTGTGTCCCGCAGCCCTGCAAAGCGCAGAGCCCGATATGA